TTCCCACTTTTGAGTGGAGCAGTTTTTTTGCAAAATGCACTGTGGAAAAAAGGAAAACTTGGTTGTGTTTGTCTTTCTTGCTCGGTTCTATACGTCCAAAACCGATTTCTGTTCTCTCTGTTATTCCATGTCATAATGGTGCACTTACTGAAAAAAATATTGGGCTGCAGTTGTTGGTTGCGACGACTAATTTGTATAGGGGCGAAAGTATTCCTTTCCTCCTCAAGTCCTTTTTTGCTTCATCTACCATCACCGCTACTACCATCACAAGACGCTTCCATTGCTTCCTTTGCCAGTAAAAAGAAATTGAAATTGTAAGAACAAGAAATATCCTTCTTTTCTTGTCCCTTCTCTTCCCTTTCGTTGAACAATTTCATTACGACAAATTTCAGCATAATTTTCTCAGAAATTTATGTATTTATTTATTTTTTTTGCTTCTTATCCAATTGAATGGTGGATAAATTAGCGTTTAAAAGTTTATTTGGATTTGGCAAAGCTAAACGGTTTTGGTTGCGCGCAAAAAAAGAAACGTTTGGTTCCCTCGAAATATCTTAAAGAAAGCGAGAGAAGGGCAACGAAGAAAGTCAGTATGTTTATTTGTTTGTGCGTGTAGAGCTCTGTAATGTGCTGAAAAATTTTATTTTGTATCAGAAGATTAAAAGTAAGAATTGTTAAAAAATTAAATGATTTTTGTTTGTCAGCTTTCTTCTTTATTTACCTCTGTTACCATATCTTTTCCACATAATCATTTTGTTTATTTTAATTGCTATTTCTTAGAAAAAGAGGAAGAGAGGAAAATGAGAAAGGGGTTTACTTTTTTTTGCAAACTTTATAATTTATTTTCAATTATAGATGATCATTTTGATCAGTATAAAGCCAAGCTTTTGCTGAGTCATATTATTTTAATAAATTACCCGTCTGTATCAAAAGTTTGGCTAGGAGAGCATTATGATGATGGACTACTGTTTTTTTGTTGTCGTCATCATCTCTGGAAAGCTGAGCCACACTAATTTTATTAGTTAATACTCAGATTGGTAGAGGATTAAAGTTTTTGGTGCTGTTGTTTGCTTACGTTTGTCTGAAATAGTGCTTTATTGAACATTTGTAAAAGGGAGGAAATAAGCATTTGCAAATTCTATCATGTATTTTCGTTTTCTCTTTGTTTGCCTCTTTTTTTTTTTTTTAACTGTTGGTTTTTTAACAGCATTTTATAACTGTTTTTTGTGTACTTTCTTTTTTTTT